ATAGGTAAAGCTAAAACTAGAGTAGGAAGTATAGCATCGTATTGCTTTAAATTAGTCAATAAAAATATGACAGATTTTTGTCTTTGGTAGAGTGTCAAAATTTATCGTTAATTTTTAAAGAAAAAACGCAGTCCACTGCGTGTTTCTTTGGAACAATGTGCTTTTCTACCAACAGGTTCCCATCTACTTGTAGGCATACTTCATTTATTTTAACTAAATCAGAAGCTATTTAATTTTTAACATAATAATATTTTTAGATGCTTTTATCCTATCAGATATCGCTACTTGACCATGTTAAGAATATATGTTAAAAAGTGTAATAAATTCTGATTTGATACATTAATTTACACTATTATAATAATACTGGAATTGAAGTAAAACATTTCGAAAATTTATTTTCAATAACGTGTATTATTCTGCCACATAAACAATTTTTATCACTTAACTATTTATCTAATGTATTATGTTTAAAAAAATCCTTCCGACTGTAGTAAAGACCAGCTCTCACTAGCGGTCTTTACTACAGTCTGAATGATTTTTTTAGTTTAAACCTAATTTGAATATTTTTACCTCTAAAATGTATATTTATTCATTGCGTTTTTGAATGCGAAATTGAATATTAATTTCTCACTGCTTTATTATATTTTTTGCTTGATTGCTAAATTTAAGAGCATTAATTTTTTAAAATATAAATTGAAACAGAGGCAGATATATCCTTTTTTTAAAAGTTAATGCTTTTAAGATTTTTTCAAAAGTTAATGTTTACAGATGCCAGTATTTTATTAGCTTGAATATAAGGTAATCATAAAAATCCATAGCACCTGTTCATAGTAATTTTTAAAAGTTCCAAACTTTTAGGGTGTAGAAAAGCGAATATTCACTCTGTGGCAAATCTCAAGAATTTTTCTAATAGATGCTATAGAAAAAAAAAATATTAATAATTCGAGATACTGGCATCTTTGAAAAGTATAAAGATGCAAATGCTTGAATTAATTAAGTATAATGCTGGAATTAATTAAGTATAGTGATTTAAATGCTTAAATAATTCGACATATTGAAATCTTTAGAAAGTATAAAGATGCAAATTTTGAAATTAATTAAGTATAATGCTAGAATTAATTACGTATCGTGATGTAAATGCTGGAATAACTCGAGGTATTGGCACTTTTGGATAGGACGTATAGAGATGAAAATGCTGAAATTGATTAAGCATAATGAGATACATTCCGAGGGAGAAGAAGAGAAAAAAATGTGTTCACCTCTTTAAGAACAACAACATCCGCATGTGCTGTGTTTACAATGGAGTCGATAGCAGATATTCTGTTGAAATTAATTGATTTTTCGAATTTATAAATTTATGGCTATTGCGGGAAATTAAAATTATGCTTGGAAATGATGGCTCCTTTCTTGATGTCAACAAATAGGGTCTTTTGTTATTCAAGGAAAAACATGTGAACAATATTTGTTTCAAAGTAATGCCGGATAGCCGAAATGAAGAAATCATTTGATTATGAAATATCTGTGCAAATTTCTGCAGAAAACGAGGTAAAATTTGTAAATTTTTCTTATGCGTGATGCTTACCAGTGTTAATAATGTTTTTATTAAGTATATTAAATTTATATCAGTTAACTGAAGACTATTCCCAAGCCCTTGAATGACGTTTTCCAAACTTCTAAATGTAAGTGTAATAATAGTATATTCATAGTTCATGTATAGTTGTTCTAATTTACTGACGATTATCAAAGGTATTTTCTATCGACATTTCGTAACATAATCATCCGATTGAGGAAAAAATTCAATTTCGTTTCTGAGTTCAACACAGTAGCACAAATTTATACAATCTATTTAAATGACTGATATTTTCAAACTGAATCATTCAAGTTCATATAGCAGAAAACTTTAATCTATAAGATTAACATTTCAATGATAGGTACTATAATAACGTACCACTCAGCTATGTTCACAGGATGGTACAATCCCATGATAACATATTTTCTGAACTGCTCCTTGCAAATGTGTACAGCTATTTAAGAATTATTAAGATGTTTACCGGCATTTATAATTAGATCGAATTTTAGCTTGATACTAAATTAAAAATGAAATATTTAAGGAAATAATAGAATTCCTGAAATTGAGGTATGTATTCAATTTATGTTTCACACAGTCTTCAGTACTTTAATCATTTGAACGAGTGCAAACTCGTTACGGATTAGTGAAATTACTCTTCTTTCACTTATACTATTGCTCATCTTTTTTAAAACCTGCTTGTTCCGAAATAAATCATTCAAACCATTTTCGGCAAATTAAATAATTTATTCAAAATGTTCTGAAAATGAACTCACAGTATTTGGATACTTTGAATAAATAATTTATATGTAATAAAATTTGGAAATAATTGGACATTCATTATTTCGTCGGTTGTCCCCCCGTAGCCCAATTTGTGCTTTATTTTGCTTTGGCATAAGTTCAACTAATTTTTCCGAGTAAGAATATTCCAATCTTCCAAAAGAGCTTTCGAAGAAACAGCTTGTTTTCTTATTCTTTTCTCAAACTCACTTTGTGCCAGCTCCTGAACGTTAAAGTCGCTGAACACTGGTAGTGCCGCCCAGCCGATATAGCAGTTAGCGTCGCTGACTGCCGTGCCATGGCAGAAGGCATAGATGTATAGTGTTGGTGCGGCATGGCGGCATGCGGCGAACCGAAAGTCCTCTCGTGTGGTTTGATGGAAGAGGAGAGGGGTGGGAGACTCTCGGACCCGTCCATCAAAACTGGGGGCGGAGCTGAACTAAATCGCATTGTCACCTGTAAAGTGCTCAACTCTGTTGCCAACGGCAGGCGTATCTTGTGCGTTCCTTGCCACGAGGAATTTCGTGGGTTTGGGCTCATGTTACGGTCAGACACGTGAGCATAAGTAACAGCAGTAACAAAAACACTGATAGTTCGGTCAGAGGTCATAGCCGAACGGGCTGGCTATATGAGCGTTTTCGTCGTTTTCTTAATGAGTAACCTGTATACGAGCGAGTTTATTTTAGTCCTCCATGAAAGCATCCCTCCCCTAGGCAGAAAGCATTCGAGTGCTTTACCATAATTAAATAAACCAGACCAAACCAACCAACTTGTTGCATGCATGTGCTATAAGTTTTTAGTCCGGAGATTATGGTGGGAGTTTGATAATTTCAGGACAGTTGTTTACAGCTCTAATGATCACAAGCGATCATTAGGACTATATATTTAGAATTGCTATTCTGTCAGAACTTGAACCGTTATTTACATTCCAATTTTTTTGCAGATGCTTCATATTTCCTGTAAGAATATTTATATATTTACACTTTTCTGTATATTTTTCCCATTAAAACTAAATTTCTTATCTGAGAGGCAGGTGACAGGTGAAAGCGGATCCAGACGGCCGGGCGGCATACATAGACCAATCGGGTATCGTACGGATTCCGCAACTGTTTAGTGCAAAACCCCCTTCGCCCCACAAGGAACACATGGAGAGTTTATTAAGATGCTACATATGCTGATGAAGACATTACGCAGATATACAAATACGATAGATGACGAAAGAAAGCAGGTATACAGATACTTATTACATTATTACACAGATATTAAATACGAATACACAAATATTAAACTGCACTATAGAAACTACGCGCCACGTGTCTGTGAGTGGACATGCTGTTATGTAATAGTCTGGAGTACCAGCCTCACCACACACACAGATATTAGATGAGACAAACACCCTTTTACAGAAATACTCTGGGCGTTACAAGTTCTGTTACAAAGAGTGCCGAGATAAGTCGATCATTGGAAACACCCTTTATTGATAAAATGCATGAGCGTTTCTGCCTTGAGGAGCTGCATCCCATTTCTCTTGTCATTGTTTTAATGGCTTCTCCCAGATCTGTCTCTTGAAATTAGATCTAGGTAATAGAATGGGCACAGGCTAAGCATTGCTGTTTCTTGCTGCGTGTTTGGTGAGTTCATCGGCTTCTTCATTCCCCTGGTATCCAGCATGTGCCTTTATCCAGGAGATATGAATAGTCCTTTGACTTCATCCGAGGGACAAGAGAAATGTTCCGAAACCATTACGCTTCCACCCCCAGTGCTTAACAACAGTCGATGGTTTTTTGATTGCATGCTTTATTCACCTTTAGCCCTACAGTATTTCGTCCATCGGACTTCAATATATTGAATTTTGACTCGTGTGTAAATGTAACCTTGTTCCAGCATAATAAATCTTTGCTTAATATGGATTTTGTGAATGCCCGTCGAATTTTGTTCCCTTGTTGCGATGGATTTCTTTTTTTCTGATCCGCCATTATATTCATATGCTCTAGTGACTCTTTTCACAGTTTAAGTGTTAAATGTTTCTTCGAAATACATATCATGATTTAATGGAAGTAATATTTAACTTAACGAAATACATAAAATAGTCCTGATAATCCAAAGACTGAACAAAATCAAGCATTGTGCCATTAACTATCAAATTCAGTTGAACGTAAACGTTCAAATTTGAGATCATGATGAGATGTATTCATAGGTAAGCATTTTTAAATGTATTTCCTTTCTGATAAGTTGATTTTAAAATAAACTGTTGAACCATTTCCTCTAAGTATCTTTTCTTTAAGTCATGTGCATAATAAATTGAGAGTTATTTGATTTTTTTCCTTGATTAATATCACATTTAAGCGATTCTAATGAACTGATTTAAATTTGCACTGAATGATTGTTTTCTATTGAATGCATTTCCTCCTATTTATACGCAAATAATTTTATCCATTAACTAAATCCATTTAATGAGGAAGGAAAAAGGGAGCTTTGCCTGAATTGCCACCCTTATTTCCTAGCGGATTTACTGAAGCGAGAAACTATTCTTCCGCTTGAAGAGTTCTCTAAATTCTTACTCGTGTTCTACCCTCTAAATTTACTAGAGTAAATGATTATTTTATTCAGTGTTGTGAATATTCATCCGATATAAACAAGTTAAAGTATTCAGGTACACCCAAAACATTGAAGAACTGGAGGAATTTGGAATCAAAGCCTCGCTGATTATCGAGAAAGCTGAAAGAAGAGATTCTGCTCTTTTCATGTGCACAGCCATGAATGACTTTGGAGAAGATACCATGAATATTCAAGTTACAGTTAAAGGTAAGTAAAAAAACTTACTACTGCATATGTACAAGAGTGCTTGATTATTTTGAAATAATGCACAATATTAATGCAAATGAACTTAAATAATTGCAATATATGTTCATTAATAAGATAAACTGCCTTAAATTTACAACTGTCTGGAATTTAAACACTGAATATGCTGCATTTTAAATGGTTTCATTTCTAATGATTGATATCAGCTATTAATTGAAATCTTTAAACGTATATTTTTATAAGTCCTTGTTTTTTTTTGGGCTGATTCTATTCTGATTTGTTTTGCATCATTGTCCTATGCTGCTCTAAAACGTATTGAAATAATAGTAATCACTTATATAGAACTTGGCAGAATATAATAATAATGACTCTTTTTTATTCAATTTACCAGTATTTCTCAATATTTTTGCTAATTAATGGTAGACTTAATAACTGAATGTCGATTTTACTTACGACACTTGATTTTGAATTGCTAAAGTTGTTTTTTGTTATCATTGTATCATCATTGCTATGAATGTTATATTAACCGCTGCATCGTCCTACAGAACTCCAAAATTTACATCTTTCTTACCCTATAAAGCTAGACTTTTGCTTCTGAAAATGACCTTAGGAATGTTTCTTTCCCTCTTTCACTAGCTGTCAAGTTCTATTCAGAAGTTCGCGCCAAATCAAACTGAACTGCCTACATATCACATTCAAGGATGTTAAATAATATCCCTCTATCAGAGACAGAAATCCTTTTGCCTTTCCTAGGTTCATATTTGACAATTAATAAAGAACACATTCAGCTGAGCAGTATTCCCCAATGCAATGACAGCTGAAAGGGCGGGGAAGAGCATTCCTATTTCCTGTCTTCTTAGGAGAACTTTGTGTTGTACGTATGATCCTGAAACAGCCTCACGCTGTAGACAGCGTGACTAATTAGCCCATAAATCTATTCTTTTCCTTTTTGTCGCATTTTAAGGTTCGAAGGCACGTAACTACGAGTCTCTTTCTCAGGATTACAATCCAAGCCACATTTGACGCCAACAAGTGTATCTCGTTGCCCACGACTGACGACACTTTACTAATTGGCAAATCTGTGTCGAGAAAGAAACGGTGAAGTGGTTAAACATTGGCTTATAAATTATGTAAATGCTAAACTTTTTGTATAAAGCCTCATCTGATTTAATCAGAAAGGTTTGTCAATACTTTGCTACAAGGACTGAAAGAAAAGCAGAAATATCTCTTAGATATATTCTAGTGTATTCTTCATTTCAGATTAAATATTAAAATTAACTATTTCGTTGCAGAAAATATTATTTCGTCATAACCATGACGCTAAAAACGAAAATGGAATTTTAAAATGAGTATTTAAATTTGAAAGCTTCGTAGTACGCTTCGTTGAATTTCGATATATACCAGTATATCATATACACTGGTTGGAAAGTAGAGACGTAATGTCCAATGAAAAAAAAATAAATCTATTAATTGATTTCGTAAAATAAATAGCACTTTATTTAAAGCGGAAGGAATAATGCAAAGCGGTGTTGGTTTTAAAAAGTGGAAAGAAGCTTAAATATTTAAATGCATTGTAATATATTAAAATATAGCTAAATGGTTCTATCATGCATTCGAAAATTTAAAGTAAAATTTTTAGAAATGCTTAATTCTTCTGTCCGATAATTGCATTCGTAACAACAAAGAAACAATATAGTAAATAAACAGTGCATAAAAAGCCAGTAAGTACAGGAAACAAAAATAAATATTTGGGTAAATAATAGTATGTTTCATAATCACTCATCAAGGCAGATCAATCAAAATCACTCATTCATATGAAAACAAAAAGTGGTTGAAATGCTGAACTACACTGGTGTGCAAAAATTAAGGACGAAGTCGAAAAATTAGCATATCAGCTGAACGAAGAGGCAGAGCGGACAGAAAGACCAATCAGGAGATTAAGTAAGGTGATGTACGGTAGCGCATGCGCAGATATGCAGGTAGACGTAATGGGGGAGCGTCTGAGTAGTATAAAGCATGTTGTCGGTGTAAGATCAGTATTTCTGGCAAAGAGATTGCACGCCGTATAGCAGTTAAAATCACACCGAGTTGCTGCCTCAGCGAGAAATGGCGAATAATCAATCTGTTAGACGACATCTGGATGCTTTTACCCGAAGTCGAATCATTGGGAAGTTGGAGGAAGGCCGCAGTGACACAAGTGTGGCTGCAGAGTTCGGAATTGCTCATAGCATCGTTTCACGACTTTTTCAATTTCAAACTACAGGAGACAATTTCAAACTACAGGAACAGCTATCCGGGGGTTTAGTAGTGGTCGTCCACGAGGAACCACACCCGCAGATGACCGGTATATTGCCTTACAGGCCAGAAGAAACAGGCGGCAGACAGCGGTAGAAATCGCTAGACACACCACACAGGCGACTGGACGACCGATATCGCGTTTGAATGTGGCTAGAAGACTGCACGGTGGTGGTCTGTTTGCACGACGCCCTGTACTGTGTGTACCTCTAACGCCTGCCCATCGGAGAAGGCGTTCTCTGTGGTGCCGGGAACACCAGAATTGGAGAGACAATGAATGGGGACGAGTGCTCTTTACAGATGAGAGCAGATTCAGTCTGAGTAGCGATTCTCATCGCATACTCATCTGGAGAGAGCGGGGAAGCCACAATCATCCCTCGAACATCATTGAAAGGGACAGGTATGGAGGTGGCGGTGTTCTCGTTTGGGGAGGCATCATGCTTGGTAGTCGTACAGACCTTCACATCTTCGACGCAGGCTCAGTCAACCGGACCCGTTATTGTAACGAGATTCTTCTTCCATATGTGCGTCTTTTTAGAGGCGCTATGGGTCCGCAGTTCCTTTTCATGGACGACAATGCACCATGTCATCGCACAGTAGCTGCCGAACAGCTCTTAGAGTGTGAGGATATTGAATGTATGGATTGGCCGGCACGATCTCCGGATCTCAATCCCATCGAGCATGTATGGGATTTTCTAGGCAGACGCTTGGCAGCTCGTACCTAACCACCAGTAACGATTCCGGAGCTTCGATTGGCGCTGCAAGACGAATGGGCAGACGCTGTGAAACCTGCCTAGCAGTCAGGGATGATCATATCCCCTATTAAAGACCAGATGTTTCTTGCTGGACACCCATCACAGGTATGTTTCGGCCTTCAGTCGCATTGCACTCCATGCTACTTTTTCAATAAAGCTTCTTTTTACCCCTCTGATTTCTCTTTTTGTAAGTGTTGCTTACATTACTCATGTCCTTACGTATTGGGGATCTTACGGTATTAAATGTGTTGATTTGGAAAGCTTTTGTACGAAATTATATTGAAAAAACCGTCTCGTCCTTAATTTTTGCACACCAGTGTATAGTAATACACACGCATGTTTATTAAATTAAAGAATTCGACATTTTAACTCAAAAATAATTTAGGATTCGTTTCGAACTCTTAACTTGATCCGTTAGTTGCACTGACCAAAAAATTTGTCGTTTGACATGTAGCATTGAAATTTAAAACTAAAATTAATTTCCTGATTAATTTGTCAATAATTCAGGAAAATTTAAAATATATTTCTTATAAATAAATAACTCAGATAAATCTTTTTAAAACTATTTGCCATAAAATAAGCAATTATTATCTTATAGCTAAAAGACTCATTATTTATATTCATTCATCATCATACACGCAAAATGATAAATCTGCGAGAAGTACGTTTAAATAATAGGCATGGTTTTAGTTATGAGAAAAATCAAGGTACTACTTCAATACAATGACTCCCATGTGTTAATTCCGTATAATATGTATTTTTTCCATAGGATATGTATTGAAAACAATATGTATTAGAATAATGTTTAAGATCATGGGGGAAGGGGAAGCAAAGCTAGTGGAAATGAGCAAAAAAATGCAGATTTGTGGTTTTGATATGCAGCCGGTTATTAACACGTACATACATGCTAAAGATAGTAATCAGTTATTTACTTAGTTAATAATAGTTGAGAAACTTAAGCCTGTAATAATGAAAGCTTCACGTTTTTCTGGCTATGAAAAATAACATGTACCAGGAAATGAATTATGGGTCATAATGTTTTATTTACGTGCAAGATAATTAATCATACTTTCCTGTTTAAGTGATACTGAACACGAATTCTTAGAAATTTACCGAACAGGCTTCCCATCTGTATAAAAAAATAAATCTTTAAATCATGTCGAAGTAAAATTTCAAGGAATATTTAAATTTCCCCTTTTGCAAATGGAACTTTAAAAAATAAAAGTACAGTTATCATATAAAGAAATTATTTCGCTTTTCCTACATCATATGTTTATGTATTTCGAAGTAATAAGAAAATTTTTTATATCATTTTCTAAAATTTAAATGTTACGTTCCGTGTATTTCTGCAACATTTTTTAAGATGTCGTTTCCAAACCTTATTACGTTTGAAATAAGCATTCCTATTAACTTATTGTTGTAATTGATAAACCTTACATAAAATACTGAGAATTAAATTATATCATCGGATATTCCAAATATGTTTTCTATTAATGCATCCAAATCTATTAGTCTGCACAGAAAAAAATGTATAATATCTATAATTTACTCTACTATTATTTCAGCTGACCAAACCGCATACATTATACCAAAGCAAAAATATGTGAACAAAGGAATTAAAACTTGTTAAACAATGGGTTGTACTAAAGTATTATCTCTTTATTTGCATATACTGTGTTGCCTGAAATCGAGAAAGAAAATAACGAGTAATTTATTTTACGAAGACAAGACTACAATTATAGAAAGACCATAAAAAATGGAATGTAGTCATGGAAAAACTCATGGAAGCTATCACAATATTATTTCTTTAAAAGAAGCCTATATTCCAATAAGCATACTTAGTAATATTAACATTACAATATCTGTCGAACATGACGGTATTTGAGCCGGACACGTCGTACTCTGGCTCAGTTAGCTTGTGAAGTCCCAAGGATACCTCATATGAACGAGTCTTGACCGCAGTTCTTAAAAGGGACATGAGGAAACGAAGAACATGAGGAAAAGACTAAGGATTCGGTTTCTGGTAACTGAAAATGTTCACCGAAGATCGAAATAAGGTCGTACGCCTGCAACAACAGAAAATGAGGATCGGTATATAACACGAACGACCAGAAGAAACCTTGCTTTGAAGGCCACTTACTTGCAACAGCACTTTCAAAGGTCTACTCTACTCGTAACAGAGTTTCCACTCAAACTGCTCGAAAACAACTCCGCCATGTGGATTTGTGTACTCGCCGACCTATCGTTTGTGTTTCGTTGACACAAGACCATCCTACTGCCCGCAGAATGTGGACATAGTAGCATTATTTCAGATGGAACGAGATGAGTGGAGCAACGTGCTTTTCACGGACGAGTCCTGCTTGAGTGTAGAACCTGACATTAGGCTAATTTTCATCTGGAGAGAACCTGGCACACGGGATACTTCTGCATTTGCGCATGAAAGTGTTCGGTTTGGCGAAGGTGGTGGGGCGGTCAAGGCCAATATTTCTGACAATGCGGACACCGACTTGCATATTATTAGAAAAGATGCGCTAACGGTTCAGCGAGATAGGGATGAGATCCTCAAAGTTATTGTGTTCTTTATGTTGGAGCAGTTGAGGATGAATTCATTCTCATGAATGATAGCGCCAGACCCGACCCCCATCATGCTCTGGACAATTTCGTTTTCGATGACGTAATGCTTAGAATGAATTGGACAGCATGTTCCCCAAATATAAACCCATTAGAATATGTTTGGAACCTTCTAGGGAGAAGTTTTGCTATTCGCTTATCACCCCAAGAAACAATTCAGCAGTTGAGAACAAAGCTGTCTTCTACAGGAGTGGGAGAGAATACCGCAGTCAGTCATTGATAATCTCATTGAATCCATGCGTCGTAGGTGTGAGACAGTGCTTTCTGTATACCTGATATATAAGTAAACAAAACATTTCTTATTCGCAGTTTATATCCAAAATCGTAATATCCCCCAATTTTATTCATCAGTATAAATTTTGCGCATACTCATGTAGTAAATTTATTAAAAGTCCATAAAAATGAAAGGAATTGAAAGTTAGTTGATCTGGGAAAATTGTTTTTGTTTTCTATCAAAACTGCATCCTAGGTTATATTATAAAGAGATTTCAGAATGATAATTTTGTATGTTCTAACATTTGAAAATATTTTCAGTATCATTTATGGAAAAAAATAGGATTTAATAAAAATTCCTAATCTTTCGAGAAATTTCACATTTATTCCATGTGGCAGATGATCTGCAAATGAGCATTCAAAAAATCACTCTGTACAAAACTGGCCTAAATCATATTACGTTTAATAAAAGTATGCATTTCATTTTAAATTTAACATCTTAAAAAACAATACATATTGATAACATTTTTGAAAAATGGAAGGAAATTCGATCTTTAATTTAGAAGGCTTGAGTTAGTGACAACACATATAAGAATATACCACTTTGGTTTTACATATTTACATTGAAATATTATTTTCGTTTCAAGATATGTCCCTATTCAAATCAACTAAATAAAATATCTCCTTACAAATGTTTCAAAAAACTAGTTTAGCATTTGTATTTTGCAAAGTGATAACACATTTTAGACAGAACATTTGCTATTACAAATTTATTCATTTAATATGAATAAGGTTTTATATTTTAACTTATGTGAATGGTAGTAAATTGGATCAGAAAAAGGATGATGAATTATAAGAAGATTTTATTTATTTTTCTAACAAATAATTAGTTAAATGATCAATAGTCACTTTTTTTTAAGCACAACAAGACAGTTTCGCTTTTCTCTTTATAAAAGGTTTTCTTGGATAAAAGCCAATAAGTGGAAACTGCGTTTGTTCGCACTTTTGTTTAATCCCAATCCTATTATTTTTAGAAGAATAGAATTTTTTACTGCTTTTGTGTTCTGCTATTTAATTCATGAGTTGCAGCTTTCTATCTGAAACTATTCTCCTATTTTCGTTGCACTCAAAATAAGGCGTTGTTTAAAAATGTATTTCAAGTTTTATCAAAGACAGAAGAACTTTTTTTACAATATTGAAATTATAAAACTAGCTGTGTTTATGAGTAATGCTAGGCTGGAATATTTATACTTTAGATTAATTTTATTGTAGAAATAAAATTTAGCGTGTATTTATAAGCAATTGTCCATTCTGAGTATTTATAAGCAGTGGAGGATTTACGGAGGAAATGAAGGCTCAAATTACTTAACTTTTTGGGTCTCCTTTAGTTTAAGCCAAAAGGATGGTGGCTATTTTTAACAATTAGTTAATGGTTAAAGGTGCCTCCTCTGAGCACGGGTTTCTTGCGATCCCCTTAAATCTCACCTTTTTTTTGATAAGCTGAAGGTATGCAGTAAAATTATTTCTTTTTCTATTATTTTTCTGTTTGTATTTCGAGCGCATGGCAATGAAGAATATTTTTTTTATTACTTTACAACTTTCCCTGCATTATCACTTCTTGCGAATATAAAAAATTTAAATATTAGCAAAATATTTAGAATGATAAGATATTACTTTATCTCAATGAATGATTTAAAATATAATTAGATTTGCGGCAAAACTTAGGTTCTTGAGGCACTTGGGTATTTTTGTATCCCAAAATAACATGCTGAGAATGAGCAAAAAATCTAAATGAAGTCGAAATTTTCATTTTCTCAATAAATATTCATAAATTAACGTTTTCAAAATTAAATTAATTAATTCTTCTTTACAGTTGACATAAATCGGAAATTTCTTAAATTTTATTAAACCTATTAAATGAATAATTTCAGACGATATTTTTATAAATAATCAGAAAATTTATGTTTTAGTAAAAGCTAAAAATAAATTTTAATTCCTTGAGACCCTAAAGAAACATGATAATGATTTGCATCGATTTGCAGACGAAGAAATCTTAGGTACAGACTTCAGCAGACACTTTTCAGTATAAAGAATAATTATTATTTTCTGCAATTATTAAAACTTTTTTGTATTATTATTTTATAATTTTAATCAAATTTTGACAGGTATTAATATATATTTACGTACCAGTCTGGAATTTTATTTTTTAAAGCTTTCATCTCTTAAAATATTAAAAATCCCTCTTTTCAATTAATATAATATATTTAATTATTGAAAATAGGTATTTTACAATTTAAAGAAGCGAATGGTTTAAAAAATTCGCATCAAGAAGTCACTGAAAATTACCCAACATTATGTCCTTTATTCCGTTGCTTATTATGCATTGTTTAAAAATGCATTATGTGAAAAATAAGGCTAAATGAGTATGTAATTATTTCAAAAATATTTTCAGCAGATGATGACACAATTTTCATTTTCATATTTTTTAAATGCGCTAAACTTTTAAAAAGATTTTATTTAAATTTAATACCATGGGGAAATTTAATTTTTCATATTTTATTTCATGTGTAGTAGAAGCAATGGGTTTTAATGTAAAAATCTGGGAACTTTATTTTCTTACATCACATTGTTATTCAATGGAAGTGAACGATTTCTTTTCTTTTTTTTTTTTTTTTAATTTAAACTTTTAAGAACATTAACTTCTCACTTTCCATTATTTGTGTAATGGTAGTAATTTGTGAAATTTTATTTAAAATTTAAAAATTTGGGAACTTTAGTTTCTTACATTTACTAATTTATATACTAGAAATGAAAGTTTTTTTTCCTAAATTTAAATATTTGGGGAACTTTAATTTTTTACTTTTCATTATATGTGTAATGGGAGTGAACATTATTTTTAATGTAAATATTTGTCATTATTTGTGTAATGAAAGTGAACGATTTCTTTTCTCTCTCTCTCCTTTTTTATTTAACTTAAATTCTATATACTTCATTATTTAAGTAGTGGAAGTGAATATTTTCTTTTAAATTTAAATAATTGACAAATTTTAATTTCCTAGGTTTCATTACATGTGTAATGGAAGTGAACGATTATTAATGGAAATAACAAGACAGTTATGGATTAGACTCATGATAATAATTTCTTTATACTAATTCTAAAGCTAAGTGTTTTCCTAAGGCTATCCATAATTAAATTTGAATGCTTTGATTGCTGTATTTGTTATTCCCAATATTTTGAAAAACATATGTTGTTAAAAATAATTTCGCATCTAATAAGCTAAGTCTTTCAGATATTCCAGATGCCCCTCAAAACTTGGAAATACATGATGTAGCAAGTCGCAGCGTCCGATTAACGTGGGACCGGCCGTTTGATGGAAATTCTCTAATCACCCAATACACAGTAATGTGGCGTCAAACAGACGGTGAGTATATGTAGTCAGCGCATTCTATGTATCTTGCAGACATGCTAGAATATGTTATTGATCTTTTTTTCCTTGTGATTCGCTGAAGAAAGGAAATATCTGCTACTCTGAGCAGTTACTACGTTCCCAGAAGCTTCTCCTCACCTCCCCTTCCCGATTAGTGAATAACTGCACAGAAAAGCGCCTTAGTTTTAGCAGATCTTTTGCACGTCACTAAAAAAATTTCTTTTATTTCTTTTATGCGAAATTACTGGTTTGGGGAGAAAATATTTCACCCGTTCATTATAGAATCGTAAGCAATTTATACATCCTCACTAAAATTAAAAATCTAAATTTTCTGAAAGTAATTACATATTATAAATACCATTTGCAGGTCTGAAATAGCTTTTTAATAGATTTCAGAAATTGCATGCACAAAAAACTGTACTGTTCTTGCATCATTTAAAAAAATATATGATAATAATGTCTAATGGTATGCAGCTTCAATGATTACTGCATTTCCGCGCATATTACAGCCTAACATTTTTGACTAATTTTACCTTCCATAACAGGAAGAAGAAAATTATGTGAGTAATTTAATTTCCAAAGGACGCGGCGCGGTTGCAGTACGGCACTGTTACAGTAATAACATAACACCTAAAAAGGGGTCATGGTTAAACTACTAGTGACTAACACAATAATTTACATTTGAATAGGTTAGGTTTGGTTTATTTGATTATTCCAAAGAACTCAAGGCTATATTGTAAGGATCCTAAGTTTTACTAACGTTTATTTTATTTTAAATCTTTACTATCACTTCTTATTTTCTACTTCCGGCCAGAATTAGAAGCTTTAACTTATTTATGCAAATTGTCTTGCTAACGCCAAGTACTTAAGTTGTGGCTTTTTGCCAAGCAAGAGAGAGGAAGGGGCTATTGGAAGCAAGCCGCTTGCCATTGTAGTTTTACGAGTTTTCACTCTGTTGCTGGTTGCCTTCAAGGCCAGAGGTTTAGTCCTCTTGATAATTGCAAACGTATCGTAGTTTTAGCAGCTCGGCGTACTACATACGGACCTTTGTTAAAATAAAGGCCAATCTTAATGCTATTCACTTGTATACCAATTCAAAGTTAGTTTTAGTTAGAGTTTTAGTTAGTAGTTTTTATATTATTACGTTCAGACCACAAGTGGTTGGTCTCTGTATCCCGAAGTTCGGGAATACCTGTAAAGATAGAAAATAAAGGGTTTCGTATACCCTTCCTGCTTGTATTGTCTACTTCACAATTTCTTGAACACAGCTTGAGTAAGCTCCCTGTTCCGAGTCAGGACAATTCATGTTTCCAAAGCAAGTCAAGAGGAATACAAATCCTGATAACATGTCTAACAGAAGAGATGCCTTCGTGGAAAACTTTCGGAGGCAAACTGGCTTGTATATACGCTACACATGGGCAAAACCACGAAAATACCATTGTAAGCCAAACCGTTTGCTGGGATTCGAACCTCATGTGTTCAGCGACATTACTTCTTATCCGCTGGTTAGCCGCATTGCAGTTAGGAATGCATAGTAATATTAATATTGTAATATATGAAGGATATTGAGACAATATCTGATAGTAATAGAACTGAGCCATTTGTATCCTGCTGATTTCATCTTGAAAGAGACTTGACCGTAGTTCCTATGAGGGGCATCAGAGCAGCGAAGGAGAAGAGAGTAACAAATAATTTACACAACATACGTTTGAAATAATAAATGCAAGGGGAAATAAGATGGATGAAATGCTAATACAAAAACGCAAGTGCAAATTAAATACACTGAATAAAAATAAAAACAATCAAGGGAATACCATTTACTATTAAATTAGCCCTCAGAAGGAAACGCTATGTTATAAGAGAGGAAGAGGAACATTATGAGAATATTTTTCTTAACTTTCAGAGCCTGGCAAAATCAAAGCTAGGACTAAAATTACGCGAGAAAGTATGTTGTATGAAAATGCAATTATTTTTAATGCAATTCACCTTAACAACTTTATCGCGTGTCGGATATGCATACCAAGAACCTAATGCTCATAAACGAAGCATTTAATATGTTATGGGAATTGTCCATTTGCAGCAATTAACTGTCAAATATGAAACTCCATTTAATTTGTAAATCCAATAAAGCATATCGATTAACATGATTCGAATTGCATTCTAAATAAAGGAATAAATTATTTAATGAAAACGGAAAAAATCTGAAAGGTTAAGATTTTAAATTACGTGCAAACGGGCGTTTTTCTAGCGTTTTGTGTGTTACCTTTATTTGTTAAATATCATGTTCTACGTACTCAAACCATAAAATTAAGTTCAACAGCAATATCGCAAAGTAATTTTTAAATAAGCATACCTTTAGAATTTTCGATACAGAGCCTCGCGCTTTGGAGATACACATTTTCTTTTTCGTACAGTGTTGCCATTGCTCGATTTAAAATGGTTTAGTTTTCCAATCAAAAATTCGTTGATGTATTACAATATATGAAATCGATAACAAAACAAATCTGAAATTCAAATTAGGGCTTCACATGCCCAGATTCTATGGAAGATTACATTATTCAAATTTTAATAGCTCTATTTACCGTTGTTTTATCACAATGCGAGAAACATACATAAATTCATCCAGATTCTTCATTATTTATTTCTTTAAATATAATGCAAGGAGATAATATTTGGTGGCAATAATTTGAAAAGTGATTTGCCGTTTATAGTTTTCAAAGCAAAATGCCAAAACGAAGTTAATAGTCCTTCAGGGCAAAATTGCTTCCTTCGAACTGATAAAACTATTAAAATCGTGTTAATTTTTTTACAAACATGGAATACTAGATTAGTAAAAAGTCTGCCACAAATTCCCTTAATCTTGATGATGTAAATAGCTCCAACTATTTATTATGTTTCTTGGAAAGTAAATTCCTGTTCTTCCAATGCGGCTGTATGTAATTTGTTCTTGTATAGTTGCATAATTTACCTTAGTTAATGCATTCGCTATTAATTGATGACCCTATTTTGACTATTAAACTCTGGTTTGTGGTCTATTAGAGTTGATGCAGGATGAATAATTTGTTTGCTCCAGATTATAGCTTTATTAATTTTTATATTTTTATTTAATGAATCATTATAATTTTTTATAAATAAAATTTTTATATTATCAGATAATTTATAATTAGTTTACTTGTCATATATTGCATTTCTTAAATCAAATAAAGGTTTTGGTTCTGATTTTACAATTTTGGATCATAACGGATTAGATTTTATATTAACTCAGGAAATGCAGGAAAGGTGCTTTTCACATTCCAGTCTGTATGAATTGGATTAAAAAAATGAAATTGTTTTGTTTTTGAATTTAATAAGCTTGTGTATTTATCAGTTCAGAAACAAGTTGATCCGTTTACTTCTCTCGATACAGCTACCCTCTAATAAAGATGTACCAAAGACGTAAATTCTTCTTTTATTGCATTTAATTCTTTTATTTTGGGGCTTGCTGTTTACTGATAGAGCCCCAGGTTTCAGTAAATATTAACTTCCATAATAAGTATGTTAAAATTGTCTTTAAGGCCCACAGCGGCCGAGAGGTAAAGTAGCTGAACACTGGTAGTTCGGCCCGAGGTTCGAATTCCGCGAACGGGGTGGCTGCATGCCAGTTTTTGTGGTTTTCTGTGTATACGAGCCAGTTTCCTTAATACGCCCTGCCCTCCACTAAGAAGTCCCATCCCTTAAGCAGAGAGCCCTCGAGGCTTTGCAGTAATCACATAAAACAAACTAAACCTTTAATATTAATGGTCATGGAAACAGAACTAACTGCAAAGGAGAATAAAACTCAACTTCCGTTAGATATTAAATTAAAGGTATATTTTTAAGCTAATAATCAATAGATAAATTAAAAAACGTCATAAGCTAATACGTCATAAACGTCATAAAATATGTCAGGTATAGCATAAAGCGTTCTCATTTCGCTGATAGCTATTGTTAAGTAGCAATGTTGACAGTACCGAGAAACTAAAATGTGAAGCGAGTTGATTGGTTTGTTTGTGGGTCAGGTAGTAAGTCAGAAGCTATTTATACGCAGAATTAACGAGGAAATATTTAGCAATGAGGTGTGCAGTGAAACAGAGTTCAGTGAACCTTTGTAGATGCAAAAATTATTCTAATTCGCGGAAGCAGCGAAATGTAAAATTAAAGACATATACATCATACATGTAGATAAATTTACAGAATACTTAGATAGTTTATTATTGAAAGTTATCTTGTTATTTTGAGAAATTTTGCAACTAATCATTAATTACATTACTTTTAATTTTAACTAAAAATAACGGAATTAATTACATTTTCATATTACAATATATAATTTAAAAGTATAACTTTTGAAGCATATTTACATGAAAGAGAAATAAAAAACTAAAAATAAAATGCAATTATATTAAAAATAAATTAAAAAAGGTACGCAGTTTATGGAGTCCATAAAATTACATCAAACGTTATAAAATCGATCATAGAAAATAACCATAACGTCTTAACTCAGCCTTTACACCTTATGCTCAAAATAAAGTTACTGCGTGTGAAGGTATAAATACATAGAAAAAATTAAAGAAATGAATATGCTACTATTAAGCTCATTTTTTAAGCGGGATGGCAATTTTCGAATGCAGTAAGTAAGTTCATAATTTTACAAATTTTAAGAACAACATGTTTTTGCTTAATAAGGAACCTTTTGAAAGGAATGCAATTACTTGCTGCAAATTCAATATTGTATTGTTTTGTAAAGGAAAACTCCATTATATAATGATCTGGAGGTCCAGTGTCTCCTCCGATACATTGATCAGTGTTGGTAAATCCATGTTTACAGTACAATTTTGTGAAGTATAGGTGACAAGTGATAGATTGCGGTGACACCTGGCATCTACCAATGGCAAGCAGGTGCATGCCTCTTGTCCATCACTATTCAGAGCTTATTGAAGAATTCAAGAATTTAGGCAAGATCCATGCCCACACAAGGG